CACGTCCTTCTAGTCGGCAGACGAAGCTGGAAAAGTAGGAGGAGGGGGTGAGACCGTGGTTGCACTAGACAAGGCTAGAGGGGCACTCAGGAGCGGTGGGGGGGCACTATTTGAAGGAGTTCGGCCGCCACCGACAGGAGCGTCGCGAAAGGAGAGACCTTTAATTACCGCCACATTGGTTGATGTTGACAGCGGTCTTGGCTTTCTCTTATGCTTGACGGCGTGTCACGGGGCCATCCCTGGAGGCAATGATGACAGCGACCTTGCGCTGGCTCTGCCAGGAAGGGCAGCGCAGCTCGTTGGCTGGATGGGTATCGCGTCAGTTATTACAGCGAAGGACGCTCCGCAGGGCATGGTGCTTAGGGGTGGCTTCCACTACATCAGAGACAGCGCTCCTCCCGCGAGCAAGTGTTTGTGGCATTGCCGAAACGGCCGCAACGGGCGCGCTGAAGGGGCCGGGGCAAGCGCAATGGACCGGCCTGCGCAGCTTGAAGAGAAAAACCTCCGGTGGTACAGTGGTTCTCTCAAAGGTGATAGTGACACACCTGCCACGACGTGCGCACACAACTAGAACGACAGAGTCGATGTTTTCAGCGATGTCAGCGGCGTCCAAGTCCTCGTCGACCCCGTAGATGACCCCCACGCAGGTGTTGTCCGTGAGGAGCTTGGTCCTCATGTTCAGGGAGCAGATCCGCCGAACGTCGAGGAGCTTCGCAGGGTCCGCAGCCGGTTGAGCGTCCTCGGCAACGAGGTTGTGTTGGAAGTTGACGCGGACGCATCTGGGGGGGGGGGGGGGGGGGGGGGGGGGGGGTGAATCCGGAGAGGAACGCCGCCATCGAGTCACAAGACATAGCAAGGAAGTTTGCTTTCTTCCCCACCAGTCTGAAGATGATAGTGCCGCCGTGTTCCTCACGGATATGGGGGAAGCAGCGGCGACTGGCTTGGGCGCCACGGTCGGGTTGACTTCGGCGGCCGGGGTGAAGGAGGAGGTCTGATGGGGGGGGGGGGGGGGGAAGTGCAGAATGGCGACATCACTTGGTCCGCCTGTCGTGTCTGACGTTTCAGGTGATAAAGGAGGCGCTCTCAAGAGGGGCTGGAGACGGGCAAGGTTAACGTGGTGTCGGTCTCTGTTGAGTCTGGTGGAGAGGGGGTGCCCTGGGTGGAGCTCTCTTCTTGCGCGCCCGCGGGCTGTGGTGACAGCAGCCGCCAATTCCGCAGGCTCGGGGTGGGCCTGCATTGCAAGTTTCCCCGCTGTGGGTGCAGTCTGCTTCCTGTTTCTTCTTTAGGAAGCAGCTGCTTCAAGCTTCTGCCTGTGATGGGTGAGGGCCTGAGCTCTCTGCTGCGAGTGATTCTGTTGCAAAAGTTTGTGTAGCTAGGATCGGGTGCGGTGGGCGGCCACAAAATGTGGGTCCACGTCTTTGAGGAGCTCCTCGAGGGTCAGTCCGGTCTCCATGGCTAGCCCTTAAAAGGGCTGCGTGCACGGAGACGCAAAGCGGCGGCTTAAGCTCCCCATAGGGCCCAAGCATTAAAACCTACAACCACTCGGGTGCCGCCATGATCGAACCATACTCAGCTCTCTGGTTTTGTACGCTCGCACTCACTACTGCATGCTATAATAACCCTTGGAATATTTTTGTTTCGTAGATCTCTGTTCCATCACAGTAAGACACTCACACAAAGTTGAGTTCTTGGCTCATGCCAACAAAAAATGCAGATGGCGAGGGGCAGGCAAGCCGGTGGAATAGGCCGTACACCTCACTGCCCCGCTCCCAAATGTTGATTCGGTACAATGATGGTGGCGCCATTTGGTAAACAAACCTGAAAATGCCCCTTTTCGCCCACAGTAAATTGCGTGAATGGCCATTGTATCTTCCCCAAAAGTAGTCGATATAAACATCACACAATTTTAGTTTAATATATATATATATATATATATATATGTATATATATATATAAAATACTGCAAGAATTTTGAGTGTTTTAAACTAATATATGTAGCGCTTCTTTCAAATGATGGAGGCGGCAATGCTGTAGGCCCATTCACTCAAATTTGGGTGCACGTTAAAGAACCCCAGGTGGTCAAAATTTCCGGAGTCATCCACTATGGCGTCTCTCATAATCATATGGTGGTTTTGGGATGTTAAACCCCACATATCAATCAATCAATCCGAGTTTTTTTTTTTAATGCGTAAGCATCTCTACGGCTTTTCCTGTAGGGTCTGTATAATAAATAAACAATTAACTCTATGAAACCACGTGCTCTAACCGGCCGGCTGCAGATTCAACATGGTGGCGAAAGCGTCGGCGGTGGCTTGCATCGTCTCAAATCGCAAACTACCGTGCAGCACGACGAAGCTTGACGGCCTCAAGAAAGGTGCGTTCATCGAGAGCCTGGTTTGTATTATGATCGCCGAGAATTCTGGAATTGGACGGTGCAGCAGCAGCGAGTCGGCATACCCCAAAGTGTCTCGCGTTTGTGTACAGACAGCTAAATCTTCCGCCGATGCGTTCGCGCGTGTCGTTTCTGCTGGCTTATCTCCCGAAGCAACGTTTGAAAAGGTGCGAGCTGTTTCTTTTCAGTGCTTTGCGTGAATAACTAGAATTGGGTACAAAATTTAGGGCTGAGAAAGCCGGCAAAATCGTATTAATTTTCAAGTTAACATCGGTGTTGCGGGCAGAACGAATGTGAAAATTCTTGACGTGCGGTCGTGGTTTTCCGGCTGCTCAGGTTTCATTTCTCAAGCATGAATGCACCCTTTAAAGGTGTGGGTTGGGTATGTGGCAGGATGGACCGACAAATACAGCTGGAACTGCACCGATAGTGGCAGGCAGCTCTAACTCATTGAGCGTAGAAACTTCAATAGAGAGTTCTCGTGCCCCCTCTTCTCTCGCTCACTGTAGAGTTAGTGTATATGCCCCCTATGGGAGCAGAGTTGTGCATAGGTCTGCCATTACGTTCAACGGCTGTGCAGTGAAGCCACTCGTTGCGCGTGCAGGAGACTAATACAGTTTGATGTTATGGTGCGGCCGCGACGTGCTGCAGACTTATCCGCACGAAATGACCAAAATTGCACTTTTGAGTGAAGCTGTATATTGCTATAGCTTTCTTACGAATGGCGTCCACGAACAATACGAGGTGGTGAACAACAGTTTTGCAGCGGTTGGCAGATACAACCATCACAGCTTTTAGATGCATGCTATGATCTGACAGCTCAAAAGTTCACTTTCCTGTGCAATAACTTGCGACAACAAGCGGTGCTATTTTTGTGGATAGGTAAAGATAGCATATACAGTAACTCTAGCTTAGTGGCAAGTGCAGCACCACCCGTGGCAGAACTAAGTGACCGCTAGCTCTGAAGCTTGCACCCATGGCTCATGGTTGCCGCACCGTTATTATAGTAAGATGCAGCCCTACGTTGTGGAAAGGGTGAGGCAAACAATGATAAAACGTTCATCATTTGAACACCACTCATGACTATACAGGCACATACAGTGCTTGATGGTCTAAATGCAATACTCGGGAGCTTGCGGCTGCTGGCTACAGTACCGAATGCAGGCACCATACGGCACGAACGCTCTCGTCTTTAAATAGCTGTTCAGTCTGTGGTTCACGGTGGTGCCTACCATGCTTCGCAAGCCTTCGTAAGGTGCAATCGTCAGTACCAGCTGATACAGCTGGCTACCGCATGCAGTCACCATGCTCTCACCCTTACCGCCAGCAGCTACGAGCTCCGAGTATTGACTTGAATTGAAATTTATTTGTCGTGAAATAACTTGCAGGAGCAGAGACTAAAGGCTATACAGCCTGACAACGGGCCTCTACTCGTACATGTACGTGGTTCAATTGTCGTGCACTGTATGCTGCTGAGCTGCTTAGAGATATTTGAGCGTTTTATTAAAGGGGCTCGTAAAACTCGCAGCATCATCAAATCATTCGCACCACAAATTTAGTGATCTGCCGTGTACCAAAGCTGCTACAGGCAATTATCATACCCTCCCTCTCACCTCTGCCAGCCTCCTCAAATCATGAGGCAGCTGGCATTGCTGGCAATCGCCGAGCTCACATGGGCGCGCTAGACGATTTGAGCTTCTACCTGGCTGGACCTCGGAGATAGCACGCCGACAGGTTGGGCGCAGTCTTGGAGGCCATCACACAGTGTGCCCAGCAGCACGCACGCAGTCTGGCGACAGAGATGACTGCAGAGTGGTTCATATCTGCTCTGACAGGTGCCGCTACGCTGCCAGGCGATCTTCCGCAAAATCTACAGCACGTGACGGCCAATCGATCAGCAGCCACGGTGACATCGAATGGCCAGAGCTTGTCGCTCTTGGAATAGGCGGTCGAAAAGGTGTTTGGCTTAGTCGCAACGATTTGCACCTTCAAAGCCTTGTGATAAATTACACGGTTTACACAGAACTCAAATCTTTCTAAATTACCCTTAGGACTTGGTCCACGGGCCCAGTGTGTTTGTACAATATCGCCGAAACTGCTTCAGGGTCCTTTCAAGCTGCTTACAAGTGTATACAAATGCTTACGCATCACGTACGTTTTTCGTGCTCTGTAGCCAAGGGCATGGAAGGCCCCTGCCATGTTTTGTGTACTGGTTCTAACGAAAAACAAACCACAGCTTTGTTCTTAAATTAGGAACAAGCAGCACTAGGTGACATTGCCTTCGTGAGAAATGCTTCCAAAGAGTGCCACTGCGTGTGCTGATGTTGTCGCTTGCGATGTCGCGATCCCTTTGAACGAATAAAAAACATAATATGCTAAATATTTATGGATCTATGTTGAGACCTTCTGCTGAAGACATTGTTAATGTCAGTATGCATAATATGCAAATGAAAACAGAACAAAACGGTGGCTTGAACCTAGGTTTAGTCTCCACAATGTGTGCTGCTACCGGCGTACTACATTTGTACTACTTTCCATATATGTAGCCTCGTCGTGCCCTGATGTGTGCCCGTTTTTGTACTCAAGTGGATTTTTTGTTTACTTCCAGGCTCCTATTGATCCGCTGCAGCTGCTAAAGGCACTGTCTCCTCTGCTGTCGCCGCAAGGTGGCATCCGCAGTTCCGATGAAGTGTCCAGGTTGTCTAGGTGAGGACCTCAGCTTACAGTACTCGCTGGCTGCTACTTCTGTGTAATGACTGCACTACTGGCTGCTCTCTGGAACTTTTGGTTTGTGGGTGTTTCACCGTGGGTGCTGGGATTTTGTTGTCCTTGCATCTATGAAACGCGGGTCTTGTTTTTCCAGGACGGGGAGGGCCCAGCTCGCTCTCCGACCCTGGAGGAAATGGCGCCTGTCCTGCCGGACTGGCGCCTCTGTGTACTGGCGCCTCTGTGTGCGTTTGTCTTCGTTCCCTTCTTTCCTTCCCCCTTTTTCCATACCCTCAGTGTGAGCACTAGCGTTCTGTATCGACCTCCAAGGGGACCTATCAGCCGGAAGCAGCCAGTGGACAACAACATGTGCGTCGAGCAAGTCCAGAGTAAGGACACTGCGCACCCATGCCACTTGCTTGGGGCTGCGCAAGACTCTCGCCGTTCTGCTGCGTCGTCATTGTGGGGATGGCGCGCGTGGGTCTTAGGGACTGGACCTCTTAATCATAAGTGTTGGGTTGCGTGTGCGTGTGAGGGTTTCAGTGCGAAGCTGAGGGTGCCTTGATTTCGACCCAGTTTTGGCGCGATATAACAGGGCAGAAGACGAGATTCTGCCTTCGTCTTATCCGGCCTCCCTCCTCTCTTCGAAGCACGAAGACGTTGGGGGGTTTTCGTATGGAGCCCCCTTTCCCGTTGCATTGGCAGCTACTTCATTTTCATCATCTGAGAAGCTGAAGCATGTTTCTATGAAGCCTTTGCAGGTAAGTGGAAGCTGGAGTTTCTCGGGGATTCGACCGTAGCAATGCTGTATATGCATAAAATAACTCCAACTAAAGGAGAAAGCTACCCTGGGCAATTTGGCGTCACCGAAAGTCAGTTGGCAGGTCTCAGGAACAGAAAAAAAAAACAAAGCCAAGGAATTTCTGCTTTTTATGCTAAAATTTTGTTTAATGCATGGCTAGTAGCTCAGCCCTTTCAGTGGCAGATATTGATGTGTGTGGCGTGCTCGATTCCTCTAATGGAGAAAAGGAAAACTGTATTTCTGTGTGGCGCCCAATAAATGAACATTCATCGAATTTTGGGCTTTTTTTATGGAAGCAGTCTCCCATCTCAGCTACACTACTATCCCACATTCTCCGAGACCATCAAATTTGGTGGCATATATTAAGCAACGCCTTGGAGATAGACCTACATAGTGGGTCATTGACTTGTTCTTTATCCGATGCCCAGGAGTGCAGCACGTTTAACTGGGCTTCCAGGATAATAGCTGATGTTTCACCAAGCACTGCATGACTGCATTGCATATCCTGAGTGCCGCAGCACTGCTGCTGGCACCCTGGCGGCGACTGACACCGGCTGTCAGTTCAACAAGCTGCATGTAATGGCTGCTTCGACGGAAAATCACAGGCTTTCGAAAATGTGCCTGTAGCTAAAAAGAAATGACAAAACCAGCGCAGTCAGGCAGGTAACCAGAGATTTTTCGCTGGTACTTTTCGTTAACCTTTGTCTGACCGGGGCATTGTTTGATAGGCAGACTTTACTGGAGTCCTGGATACATGCCTCTGCGCTGCACTTCTTTCGGCTGACTTGTGGCCAGTCATAACAGTCTGATCCCATTTGCGCAAAACGGACTTGAATGTATCGCTGAGGCTGGAAGTCGTGAATTGCGGGTACAGCCAATAATTGCTACAGAAATCGCCTAATGCGCTGCCATGGCATCTGTGAGGAGCTGTTGTCTGTAGTTTCGACCAAGCTTGGTATAAAGATGTCAATCCACCCGAGCTTCAGGCGGAAAATATACTTTCTTAACACTGCAAGTTTGTGGTATATTGCAATGTGATCCGTCTACCATGAGGCTCTGTCGACCTCTATCGTTCAGCGGTACCTTAACTATTGGATTCCCTAGAAACCCGGAGTGACAAAGCCACTGCAGAGAGACGAACTGACCTTTTCTATACTCTGCTGCGACTACGCTCCGTTAACCCCTGCAGTTACTGGCACACGAATAGTACATGTACTTATGGAGTAAAGTGTCATTGAGTCTTGAGTTGCACCATCGGCTGCCACTCCTACAGCACTTATTCTAAACTCAGCGTGCACATCTGAGACCGCGCATATGCCAAAGTGAAGTCCGCAGTCGTCCGAGTGAACAGCAAATACATTTTGCGTGACACACTTATCTAGCATCCCAGATATGTTCATTTAAGAGTACATGGGAGAGGGGCTTGATGGATGATTTGTTACACGAATGATTGGGGGACTTAACGAATACGGCTTTGAGCGGGGTTTCACATGGCAGCAAATCACTGACGTGTGTGTGTATAGTTGGGCCTCTTGGCTCAGTCGTCACACAAGGAAACTCTGCTAAGAGGTTACCATTATTCACGCCTTACCACCTAGCATGCTATCTAGACGCAAATTATACGTTGCAGAAACGGTCCTACGAAATTTTGACACGCATGACCACCAATCCTTACATAACAGTAAAATATGGGCCGATTAATTGAACCGGTGCTGCTGTAGCTCGATATCCTTGGTCAATTCACCTCTTAAGTAAATTTACTTGAGACACCTTCATATACGAAAGTGAGCTATTGCCCCAATGTAACCGCAATGCACAGAGTTACTTTTGATGACACCGAGCTTGTCTCTATGAAGGACACTGAACGAGTTTTCGGTCTAATTTTCAGAATGATTTGCAAGCGAGAGTGAAGAGTACTCATCAAAATTGTGAGCCAAGCACATAATTATACAAGTGTAATAAAGGTAGTTGGAAAATAGTGTAGTCGATTAATGTGCAGCAATTTTTTTTTGTGTAGCAGAGATTGCTAAGTAATTGTTAATTTCTGTCAATACGTTTTGTACACATGCCCTAAAAGCTTTTCATGCAGCTTCCAGGTTTGTATCCTGTGCTATGCATGCCAGGTTAATGCCTACGACCTTTGGGACAGTTGGTAGTGTAGCACATGTTATGTGGATGTGGTACGAAGTAAGCGACTGGCGTGTCATTCCTACTGCTTTCCAGCACTTTCATTGCTTTACGCCTCGGTGGAGCGTAACAGAACACATCATTTCATTGAATGCTTTCTGAATAAAATGGCGCTTCTTCACATAGCACTGTTGAAGAAATTGTTGACACTTTGTGCATGCACTCTTCCCACTTCAGTTGTTGCACTAGACCCATGCAAACTGGTTGAGGTGGGCGGTACGTCTAGTGAGGCAATGTCCGGCAAATTCATCTTGACCCTGGGCGTAAAATATGGTTAGCTGCCCGCGTCAGTGGTCGGGCGGCTATCGGCCATTCGCTCCGCAATCTATGTCGTTAAGGCATGCTCGGAGAGAAGCCGTGGTCGTGGATTGCAACTGCATTGCTGAACACAATAGACTGCGTGATAAATGCTAATTTAGTCTGTTTTTCGAACACGAAAAGCTGGGCACACAGACGGTTCGATATCCCAGCGTCATTTGAATACGGCCATAGTAGAGGAAACGTGCAACGTCGTGCTTGGTTGGAGAATGCTTTGCATTAAGACCTATTCCGCCGTCTGGGTGATCTAGACTTGCCCTTAAAGTAGCGGGTGAAGGGGCACTGTTTTCGGCACACTTCATGATGCAGACCCACTACTGTGTCACTGGTTTACTTGTGGAAACTTGAACTCGTCTCGGTAAATTTCGCTCAGTACTTTGACATTGGCAGCTCAAGCAAACATGGTAATGCTAACATGAACGGCGAACCTTTAATGAATGATAAGCATAGTGCTTATACTCGCCGGCAAACAGTACTTGCGGTTTGAACGGAAACCAGCTATCGCGACTTTTTCACAGGAGCAGGGCAGGTGCGCCCGCAAGTGGTTTGGAGAAGCGCCCCAAGAATGGATTCCCTTGATACGGAACTATATATATGCTTACACACAAAAAAGGCGGTAATTCGAATGGCGACAGGCTTTTGCCGAGAGAAACAACTTTACTGATGGCATAGCAAGGTCGGTAAACTTAATTTGCCGGTGATTCGAAGGGTGGTGGCCAAAAGCTTGCCACGACCGTTTCGGCCCAGTTAACCACTTCTGCCTGAAGACGGTAGTCAGCTGACAACAGGAGCGACTCCCACGCCTCGAGGGAGGAAGCTGGCAGTGTTGTCCTTGGTGGGGGGTTACCCTCGCATTCCCAAAGAATGTGATTTTGGGTAGCTTTCACGCAGCTGCAATGTCGGCAGTTTGGTGTAATCTGTTCTGGATAAATTTTAGACAGCCGATGAGGGCTGGGCAAAGAATCTGTTTGGGTTTGCCTCCAGATCGTGGTCTGTTCCCTTGACATATCTGTCTGCGGGGCCGCGTATGTCTTGCGGTTCTCTCGGTAATACGCTGTAATTTCGTTATACGTGGTGATCCCTTCCTGCGAGAAGTCCAGGGTGGAAGGGTCCACGTCCCGGTTGATTAAACCTCGGGCTACGTGATGGGCCGCCTCATTCCCTGGATTCCCCGCGTGAGCGGGCACCCATATAAGTTGTATTTTATTGTCCCGTTTCTTATTTTTTATAATGTTGGCCGCTTTCAGCCCAACACAGCCCATCGTAAAATTCATGAGCGCTCTTTTCGAATCACTCAGGATGGAATTAGCAGCCGGAATTGTGGTGGCCAGCGCGATGGCGGCTTCTTCTGCTTCTAATGCCGAGTCCGTTTTTACGGTGGCTGCAGTAATAACTTCCCCACTGCCGGTCACCGCGCATACGGTGTAACGGTCTTTCGCTTAGCGAGCGGCGTCAACATACAGAACGTTTGGGCGATCCTGAAATTGTCGAATTTACGGTGTCCTTCAAATTGTCTCAGTCCAGCAGAATAATTCTCATCTGGAAGCCTCCAAACCTTAAGCCGTCTGCTAAGTTGAAGTATTAGACGGGCATTGAATATTATCAGCAAAGAATAACTCTTCATTCGACGCCCAATTGGTGACTCGGGTAGTGAAGTCTCGCAGTCTCTTTGACATTGTACGCAACAAGTAAG